AATAAAGATTTTTTTTTTCTATTATTACATGAAGTGTAAAGGTCGTTTTTTGTTTTTTGTTTAGGAAGGGCGAAACGTTTGCTGAAATAAAGATTTTTTTTTTCTATTATTACATGAAGTGTAAAGGTCGTTTTTTTTGTTTAGGAAGGGCGAAACGTTTGCTGAAATAAAGATTTTTTCTATTATTACATGAAGTGTAAAGGTCGTTTTTTTTGTTTAGGAAGGGCGAAACGTTTGCTGAAATAAAGATTTTTTTTCTATTATTACATGAAGTGTAAAGGTCGTTTTTTGTTTAGAAATAATGTTTAGTTTTGATTTGGAAAATCTGTGGATTAATTCAATAAAATCAGTATTTACATTTTCAGTTATTTTCCTTTATTACATTTTCATTGTAAGTATTCTTTACACATAAAAATGCACTCCATCCGTTCTGAATAATATTCAAAATATAGCATGACAAACCGTTGCTACAACTTACTTGTAATATCCTACAATTGCTATCAATTAAAATCTAGTTCAAACTGTCAACTAAATACGACTGTTATAAATGTTTAATTATACAGGAATACAGACTTCTACTTTTTAAAATACCGCGTGTTACTGCACACCGTTAACTTGGTTTAACCAGTTTGAAACCCACGAACAATTATCTGACTTACATTTAATTACTGTCAACATTGTAAAGTGCTTCAGAACATACTGTTTCGATAATAAGTTACGCACAAGTCAAAATGCATTACGGTTTATCATTTACAAGCTGTTTTATAAACCTGCCACCTAACGAACATCTCCGTGAAACGTTGTGAGATTATCGGATTATTTGAAACATAGCTTTTCTATTGGATTAATAAATTGAAGACACACTGAAGACATTGTTTTCGCCACATACCTTACAGCTGACAATTAACCATAATTATTGGATTACAAAACTGAAACAAGCTTTGTCAATAAGAAAACACACAGTAACTTGTGTGTATCGTAATTATTTCCATTAGAAAATCAAAATACATTTTTTTGTCTTAAGTCAATTTTCTCTAGAGGAGAACAGCGTGATCGAGCAAGCTTTTAATTCAAAATTTTTGGCAAGGGTTATTATATAATCTCCTGCCATTTTATGCCATATTTAGCTACACTGTAAGTTTTATTGAATTAAATTGTATTTTAATTGAAAAATAAACCTTTGCAACGCAAGATTTCACGAAAACTGTAATTTAAGAGAAATTTTCATATAAGCATTCTCGTGTTTTCTACTACCTACAAAGCATATTGATTTCATACTTTATGGTTTTATAATATCAAGCATATTTAGTACTAATTACAAGATCATACTTCTCTAAAATTGAGTATTACATTGCTGTCTTGCAAATGTAAAGCGAAGGTCTGTATATATCATAATTTAAACCAAACTTCAATACTTTTTCCGTAGTACTTATTATTACCTAGGAAACATCATAAATTTTTAAGTACAAAGAACTATCATTAAAAACTAACAGTTCTGGGTGCCAGACAAAAGGAAAAGAAAACAAAAGGCATTCTTCTGATACTCTATATACAAAAAAAATTAATAAGTTAGGGTAGACAGCTATTGATTTAAGATAGTTATTATAAGTATACGGCTCAATTAATGGAAGTAAGTTTCGAATCAGTAAGAGTAATGAAATGATTAAACTAACAGCAATAGCTACTTGTTACAGTGAACATAAAAGTAGGAATGCGTTAATGAAAGCAAGCAGCTACTAGTTACAGTAAATACAAACGTAAGGATACATTAATGAAAACAACTACTGATTCGAGACTGCACATAAGCGAAACGGATAAGTTAAGTATATCATTCTAGCGTTAGGCTATGAATGTAGGTAATGATGCATTAAGTAATTTAATTAGTCAATTTTAACTGTTAGCAATATAAAATAGTAAATACATATACGAGAAAATATACTTGTATGTATACATATCAGAAGGTGAATATAGTTATATAGAAGTGTAAACTAGATGGAAACTACAATATAGGTTTTAGATGGTTAATAACACAAGTGTACGAATGTTGAGATACAGTAATGTTAATAAAGATGGAAACTACAATACAGGTTTTAGATGGTTAATAACACAAGTGTACGAATGTTGAGATACAGTAATGTTAATAAAGATGGAAACTACAATACAGGTTTTAGATGATTAATAACACAAGTGTACGAATGTTGAGATACAGTAATGTTAATAAAGATGGAAACTACAATACAGGTTTTAGATGGTTAATAACACAAGTGTACGAATGTTGAGATCCGGTAATGTTAATAAAGATGGGAACTACAATACAGGTTTTAGATGGTTAATAGTACAAGTGTACGAATGTTGAGATACAGTAATGTACCAACACTATTCATAACCTGTGTTAGACGTAATCGTTCCTCATATAAACGATAATCTCTCTGATAAGATAATTGTTAAAACATAAATAATTATGTATTTTAGTAATTTTCCTTTTTGATACATTTAGTGACTTAACCAATCCAGTATATTATTATATTTCAATATTTTAACACGAAATATATGTTAAATGTAATATTTCCTCATATCAATAACAATATCTTTAATAAACGGATTCTTAACAACTCTTATGTACATAGGCATTTATTTAACCTACTATTATTTTACCTTTTATAGATTTATCTACAGCGCTTAACCGGTACAGTGATATCTTATTACAATATTTTAACTCGAAATGTATGTTAAATGTAATCTTCTCTCATGCAAATAATAATATCTTTAATAATTCGAGTATTAAGAATTGATACACATGAAGAGTTGTATCCTCTAATAATTTTACCTTTATACATTTATCTAAAGCCCTTGATCAATACAACACAATATTCGATTTCGATAATTTAATTCGAAATGTATTTCAGTGTAATATTTCCTCATTTAATTAATAATCTGTTTCATAAACAGATTATTAAGATTGTTTATGTACATAAATAGTTATTTCCTTTAGTAATTTTAACTTTTAAACATTCATCAACATATTTCAAAATTATAGCTTGAAATATATCTAAAGTCATAAGATTACAGAAATATAACTTAAACACACACACACACATATATATGATACTCATATAGAAGTATGACTATCACTTGTATTATAGGTTTTTATTCATTATTATGTTCCTGTATTAATTTTACTTTTATGTATTTCAAAATTCCATTACTTTTACCATTTCCTTCTGTTAGATTTTAAAGAACGATATTGGTATACTTACTTAAAGAGAATTAAGCACAAATTAGCATGAGATTTTTTATCCTTCAATTCTAATGTTTATAATTATATACATTAACACTCTTGTTTGAGACGAAAAAAAAAACGAGCAGCGACGAGTTTTTGACCAGCTGATATTAAAATCACATTTTAAACCTTAGGCGCGTTTCCATTAGAAACTTCTGATTCTTCGACGGAAAAACTCTGTGTCGAAAGTGCTGCCCACCTTTCCCGATTTAACTCTGCTCCCTCCACCATTTCCATAAACCTTGGGTTGATCTTTACCAGGCTCTGAGGTAAAGAAACAATAGATTAAATTTAGTTTACGAGTAAAGCAACAATATATTAAAGTGAGTTAAAGAGTAAAGCAACAATATATTGAAAATATATTGTTGCTTTACTCGTTAACTCACTTCATTATATTTTTGCTTTACTCGTTAACTCACTTTAATCTATTGTTGCTTTACTCGTTAACTCACCTTAATCTATTGTTGCTTTACTCGTTAACTCACTTTAATCTATTGTTGCTTTACTCGTTAACTCACTTTAATATATTGTTGCTTTACTCTTTAACTCACTTCAATATATTGTTGCTTTACTCGTTAACTCACAAAGTGAGTTAAAGAGTAAAGCAACAATATATTAAAGTGAGTTAACGAGTAAAGCAACAATAGATTAAAGTGAGTTAACGAGTAAAGCAACAATATATTGAAGTGAGTTAACGAGTAAAGCAACAATATATTAAAGTGAGTTAACGAATAAAGCAACAATATATTAAAGTGAGTTAACGAGTAAAGCAACAATAGATTAAAGTGATTTAACGAGTAAAGCAACAATAGAGTAAAATGAGCTAACGATTGTTTATTCATAGGAGAACATATATTGTTAGTACGGAGCTTTATAGTTCTGAATAAGTATAACTCTTTTCTTCCACAATTTATATTCATAAAAAAAATATTTTATTTGTATGACAAAACTAAAAAAATTAACTCATGTAACTATGAATTTATATTCGCTCTAAATTACAAAATTTTCCATTTGTCCTAAGCGAAAAAGTTGGATTTGAGGAACGCTGCTAATAACCAGAAAGAACTAATTAAAAAACAAAAGAAATAAAAAAAATTTAAAAATCAAACGACGAATTGGCCTGTCTGTACAAAATCTGACAATATATAAGCTTAATGCTTTCCAAAAATAGTTTGATGGATTAATGCCACTTAGAATATAAATCAATTACGAAATAACGTCCAAAGGAATTATACTAAATAATAAAAATTGAAATTTTGAAGTGAATTGAAATAATGCTTTATCTCTAGCAGTAAAGTTTAGTTTTGAACGTTTTTTTTTATACCATTGGTCTTTGAATTTCTTAGATAAAGAACTACAAATAATTTGCTAAGCCTAAGGTTACTATTGTGTTTGCTCTCCAGTGGCATGTCTGCGGACTTATACCGCTAGAAACTGGGTTTCGATACCCGTGGTGGGTAGAGCACAGATAGTCCATTGCAGAGCTTTATGCTTAACTACAAACAAACAAACTACTGTATTATTGGTTTCTTTTGAATTTCGTTGTGCAAAGGTACAAGACGGCTATCTGCGCTTGCCGTCCCTAATTTAGCAGTGACAGACTAGAGGGAAGGCAGCTAGTCAACACTACCCACCGCCAACTCTTGGGATACTGGTTTACCAACTAATAATGGGACTGACCGTCACATTATAACGCCTCCATTAACCACCAGACCCCTGTATGTTTAGTTTTTGAATATCTTGTTTGTTGTCGTACCTTCATTTGAGGTTGAGCTGTCATACAAAAAATTATTGGAATTTTCATCCTTCCCCTGAATAGCGTCTTCTTCTTTTATGACACATTATTAAAAGTAGAATTGCAGTTGTATTTTTGAAAAACATACCTTGTATAAAGGTAGACATATAGAGTCAATCCAATCATACTGAAGCTGTGGCAGTTCGTGTTTCTTTTCTCTGTCCATCAAAGCCTGAATGCAAAAAGATATTGCATGGATGTAAATCACTTTAACTTAGTTTTAATAAATATACTATTGTATTATACTGTATCTTATTAAATGAAAAATGATACTTTCACTAACAGATAACAATCTGATGGTACTGGTACTATTGAGTGTAATATGTATATATATACATCTTTTATATATTAAACGACAAATTTATCATGGCTTTATTATCACTAATTCTGCTGTTATAAATTATATACAGAGGTTTTGATGTATGAAATATTAAATTGCCTTCCAATTTTACATAGAAAACCGTAATTACAAAGGTGTTTTGTCACTATGATCAAGAAAGAACCTAACTTAAGCTGAACTGACTGACTGTAGCAAGGACTTGTGCGAAATTAATGCTATTTCATCTAAAACTTAGTGTTACTGTTGAGCTGCAGAAGTGAAAATTAACTTTGAAATTACCAAAGCCTAGTATGTTGATATTTTATACATAAAGCCGTAAAAATGGTGATATAAATTTCCTTTGTGTTATTATTAAACATTTATGAAAAAAATGTACTTTAACTTCGAGTTGTCTTAACTCACTGAATTAAACAATGCTCAAACTGAATCATACTTTTGATAAAACGTCTTTTCTACATTCGCAAGGATGGCATGACAAAGGAACGTAAACCAAAAACCATTGAAATAGCCAAGAAACATAAACCAAGCACTGTTAACATGGAAAAGGAACATGAAATCAAACATCATTATAATGACAACGGAACATAAACCAAACACTGTTAACATAGAAAAAAACACAAACGAAACACTGTTAACATGGAAAAGGAACATGAAATCAAACATCATTATAATGACAACGGAACATAAACCAAACACTGTTAACATAGAAAAAAAAAACACAAACGAAACACTGTTAACATGGAAAAGGAACATAAAATCAAACATCATTATAATGGCAACGAAACACTGTTAACATAGTAATGATGTTTGATTTTATGTTCATTTTTAATGGCAAAGAAACATAAACCAAACACTGTTAACATGAAAAAGGAACATAAAATCAAACATCATTATAATGGCAACGAAACACTGTTAACATAGAAAAAGAACATAAAATCAAACATCATTATAATGGCAAGGGAACATAAACCACACACTTTTAACATGGAAAAGGAACATAAACGAAACACTGTTAATATTGAAAAGGAACATAAAATCAAACATCATTATAATGGCAAGGGAACATAAACCAAACACGATTAACATGGGAAGGGAACTTAAACTAAACACATTAAGATGTAAAAACAGAGAAAATAAATCGATTTCTATTTTTAAAATGCCATGAATATATGTACACCGTAACTTCGATGTTAACCAATTTCTCGCAGTATCACGATGTTTCCCTCACAATACTTAAAATCAAAGGCAAAAACGTAACTAACAAATTTATTTATCATTAAAACTGCAACAACGAAATTTTAACTGTAACTGCACGCGTGGGAAAAATAAGGATGAAATATTAACAACCATTTGTTTTGAAAAAGTCATTAATTATTGACTCGGTTTATATATAAACATCAGCTTACCGGAGGTTGAATCTTCAACTGTTTCTTCTCTTTGTCTCCTTGCTCGAAAAATTCATTCGTAACTAATTCTGCCACCTGGTAGTCATAAAAAAATAACACATAGTAATGTGCACAACAGGCAGTTAGATGCACAAAACAAGAAACTAGATAGAACCGATACATTCGGCGTGATTCTGTTATGTAATGCATATAGCAACGAATAGTTAGAAAGCCTTGAGCTATTTTGCCAGTCATAAATACGAACAAGAAATATAAGTATTTTCTTTACAGCAATAAATTTCTTGCAAGTATCGTTGTTTAAATGGTCCAGGATTGGTATTTGGTATTTTAATTTAATACTGAACGGCATGGTATGCGATACGTGGACTAAACGGATAGTTCATGGGTAGTCGTCCCTAACTGTGAAGTACTGACCATAGGGAAGACAACCAGTCAGCAACACTCGCCGCCTCTTATGTGCCTACTCTTAACCGAATCGCTCTTACAAATGAAATAGTAGAACGTAATCAGTGGCATATTGCAGCTCGAACATTGAACTTTCCGATACGCAGCCTGGCACGCTAACCACTAGGCCATACCTGACCACAAGGTTTAGAGACTTAGATATTTTAACGAAAGAAGCGTTTATATTTAACCAACTCAAGACTATTGTAATGTTTATTTCATTCTTATCACAAAACATATTTTCACTTAACTAAAGTACTTACTTTTCTTTGAACGTGCCATGGTTTAGTGCTAGCTGCGAGATCACAGGCTGTCATTAACATGCTTCGTAGTATCTCTCTCTGGTCTTCAAAATCCCAGTTATATACTTCATTGTTTACAAAAGAAAAGAACTTTCCTCGTAACCTGTCAAAAACACCCACTTTAATAGACTTTCTAATGCAGTCTCTATCATATACTTGCCTAGATCTAAAACAGCAAAAAAAGATATATATTTTTCTCTCCTGAATTATCTTTACACGTATAACCCTGCTTAAATCTAAAACAAAAATGACACATTTTTCTGTGGCTTTCCTGAATTATATCTTTATATGTATAACCCTGCTTAGATCTAAAACGTTTGTTTGTTTGTTTGAAGTTAAGCACAAAGCTACACAATGGGCTACCTGTGCTCCTCCCACCACGGGTTTCGAAACCCGGTTTCTAGCGTTGTAAGTCCGCAGACATACCACTGTGCCACTGCGGGTCTAGATCTTAAAGAAAAAAGGCATATTTTTCTGTAGCTTTCCTGAATTATATCTCTATATGTATAACCATGCATAGATCTAAAACGAAAAAAGATATATATTTGTCTGTAGCTCTCCTGAATTATATCTGTATATGTACAATCCTGCTTAGATCTAAAACAAAAAAAAGACATATTTTTCTGTACCTTTCTAGAATTATATCTGTATATGTATAACCCTGCTTTGTCATATAAGATAAAATATTCGCATTTATTTGTGTTTGTCTTGGAATGGCCTGGTGGTTAGGCCGCCGACTCGCAATCTGCGGCTCACGGATTCGAATCTCTGTCATCGAACGAGCTACAAGGGAGCTATCCGTTCCTAATTTTGAAATGATAGATTAGAGGGACTGCAGCTAGTCAACGCCACCCACTGCAAATTCTTAGACTACTCTGTCACCAACGAATATTGGAATTGTCCGTTACATTATAATACCTCCACGGTGACAGGATTCAAACTTGCGATCCACAGATTGCGAGTCGAGCGCAATAACTACCAGGCCTTTTAAATCTTTAGCGTCTATGATATTTTTCTTCAATATGGAATATGTTGACATCGAACTTCAAAGTCATACTGGCACCAATATCACATACTTAAAATCAGAGTGTTGATAAAACCCAGCGTAATCGTTAACAACTCCTTTAGCGTGTGAAATCACATAGCGAAATGCGACTCTTCTCAAGAACATCTCATATATGCAGGACCAGCCATTCTTCAATCTCCTCTTCTTCAGTTTAGTATGGTTGAGTTAGATTTTATCATCAATTACGCTGAGATCAGGACCAATTGCACCAGCATAGGGCAGCACAAAGGGAATAATAGAATGAGGCCGCTAGAACGTGTGGAATTAATGGCGGTAGTAATACGTATGCTAAACGTTTGTACACTAACACGGGGTCCAGTTGCGGCTGCGAACATATGATTGAGTCTCTGAGTAGGTATATTACCATTGCGACTGACTAGAATTTACGGATAGCCTGCCCCTGTTTCTATTGTGTATGATGTTTTACTTTGTATCATATTCTGCTAAAGACAATTTATGATGGCTTTCATTCTTCTATGGCTTTCCACTTGAGTGAAACCATCAATGTTGTCTTTTATTCATGTACAATCTGCCCACTTTAAACTGTTATTCACATCAATGAGAAAAGACTGTGTGAGACTACTCCATATATAGATATCATATAATAAGTACCAATCACTTGCACTTCAGATCGCATGACAAGTTATTAGGTACTTAATCGGGGTGCGGGGGATTAGAAATTTTCTATTATGCTTTATTCGTTTCGTGCAGCGTATTTTGAAATTCCAATTAAAATTTTGACATACAAATCCTACAAATCACAAACCCACTTATGTGTTATGCTTAGGCCTAAATTTGTTTCCTGTCGTTCATGCCACAAACATATCATCATTATATAGAATAAATCACTTATCAATACGTTGTTCGTTGACATTCTTATGTTACATCCGTATGTGAAGAATCTCCATATCTATTTTTCAAACGCGTCACATACAATACATGTAACTTCAAGACTGAAATTTAAATCATTCTTCTGTTTCATAAACAGTAATTAAACCGTCCCCAAAAAGTTTTTAAATTTAAGTTTGTGGAAAACTTGCGATGGTGTAACTTTCTTTCTTTAAACCTCTAAGAAGAACTAAGGTTTGATGTCCAAAACTATACACATCCTTCGACGTCTTATGCTACAAGTTGTTTAGGGATAATTCATGCACAATAATTAGCTTGAGGGCATATAACACTGAAATTCAAATTCGATTCTACAGTGGTTACAGTGTAAATAGCCAATAGTAGAAAGTTAATTCTCAAAATAAGTTACGAATATAAATAATTTTTATTTTCTGTACAGATGGCACTACGAAAATTTAACTAAGATTTTTTATTTCTATTTTTTGTACTTAAAGAGAAACAGTAAAGTCGGTTCTCGCCTAAACCCCGACACTAAATAACCTTGGGTCGGGTTAGTACTTGGGTGGTTGACCACCTGAGCATACCGGGTCATAATGAAAATTTGGGAAACAATAGTTTCTGACTACCACTGGTTATCAAACCAACACTACTTTCAACCTTTTTAGTTTTTTAATGTTTAATGAAAAATGACATTTTTTTCAATTAAATTTAGTAACAGTTAATTTAAACTTTAAAAGTTCAGAAACAAAGTTAGCAACTAAATAAGTTATAGTGTAGGAGAAAGGTTCTAGGCCACAGTATATAAATATAGCTTAGTTAATAAGTGATAGAAAATGAGTGTGTGTTCTGTTATACCAAAACCACATCGGGCTATCTGTTATGTCCACCGAGGGGAATCGAACCCCTGATTTTAGCGTTGTAAATCCTAAGACTTATCGATGTTCCACCGGAGGATTAGGAAAATGAACCTAGGACTTTTAACTAGATCATAAGGAGAGGTTAATCATGGACAAGTGGTGACAGTTTTGTGATGTTAGTTTTCGTTTCGTAGGACATTTGTCGAATTAGCTGGCTGTCATGGAAGCTTAGTAATCCATTTTTGCCTTGAAAACATTTTAAAAAATCTACATAAAACCAGTAAGACAGTCAATGTGGCAATACTCTTGACATGAACAAAACTCGTTAATTCTAACTAAGACAGTGATATCTGAGTCCCTAAGTTGTTCTATGTCTAGTTAATTTTTTGTTATGGCTGATAAATGTACTAATTAATTTGCCTATACAAAGTTTTGCTGACAACTGTGAACCTGTTGGATTAAATGAAATAAAGGTTTACACGAAATATTTACAAAGGGAGTGACAATCATTACTACAAGAGCTTAAGTAGCGAGTTATTAAGGCTGAGAAACATCATCAAATAAAATAAAACCAGAAAGACACATGAGAAGGTTAGAGGGTGACTAAGGTAGCAGGTTTGTTTCTTTGTAGCTAAGCACAACGCTACAAAAAGGGCTATTTGTGCTCTGTCCACCACGGCTATCGAAACCCGGTTTCTAGCGTTGTAAGTCCGCAGACATATGCTGTGCCACTGGGGTGTCAGGAAAAGTTGGAAATATGTATTTACAATTAGAAAAACAGATTCATATCACAAACAAATGTTAATTCAAATATTCTTAATTCACAGTTTGTTTTTAAGCACAAGCTACCCAATGGGATATCTATGCTCTGTCTATCATGGGTATTGAAACCCGGATTTTTTAATTCACAGAAGGCCATTAAAAAAAACTTGCTAAAGTCATCATTGTCCAATAAGTTTGAAACTAAAAGAACCAACTTTTTAGTAAGTATGGAGTGTGTTTGTGTTTTTATAGCAAAGCCATGTGAGGCTATCTGCTGTGTCCACCGAGGGGAATCAAACCGCTGATTGTAGCGTTGTAAATCCGTAAACGTAGCTGTCCCACCGGAGGACAGTAATGATGGAGGAAAATTGTGTCTGTTGTTGCTGTAAAGTTTTGGCGGGAAGTTACACAACGGCTATTTGTGGGTAGCTGTCTCTAATTTCGAACTGAGAGACTAGAAAGATAAAACAACTTGTCACCTACCACCAAATATTGGGCTGCTCTTGTGTGACGGAATATTATTGTTAACTGTTACTCTTATAACTCACCCAAAGTCCAAAAGCTCGGAGCACTTTTTTTCTTTTTTTTAGCAGCAGTTGGACGTGACTATTGTACGAATTTTCAGATTCCCATTCCGGTGAGGAAAAAATAAATCCAAAGTTTACTGCTGTTAGGGGATAATAGATGACAATAACTTAGAACAGAACTGATCTTAAAAGTTTTTAATGTCAAACATAATAGAAGTTTTGAGCTATAGACCTAAGGATTGTTATCACGGTATCTAGTGTCAAACCGATTAGGCTAACAAATAAAACGTGTTTCTGTTTTTTAATACGCATTAAACACATACGGGTGTTGTTTAAAAACATACATTGGTCACAAACGCTATTGTATTAAAAGTCAATATCTTCGTTGACGATATTTTGTTTATTGTTAAACCAGAGTATATCATGCCTCTTATAGGAATGGACACGAAACGTTCCATTTGAAAATATATCAGTCGTAGTTTCGAACATTTTCTCAGTTTGATGGTTGAAACAATGTCCATCCTGCATACATGTTCTACAAGAATGAAACTTACATTGCACTACGATCTGTAGCCATAAAACCGGCATAATTAGTCTTAGATATATCAACTATTAATTTTTCAAACCATCTACATCTCGCCAATCAGACGTAATACTGAAAAGAGTGAAGTAAATAAAAAACAGAAAAAAACTTAGTTTGGCGTAGGCTTGAAACGATTAGTAAATAAAAAAGTGTTTGGCGTAAGCCTGAAATGATTAAGTAAAGAAGTTTCAAAAGGAATGCCCTTCCCCCACGATCGGTCAGCGGTAAGTTTACGGACTTGCAAGGATAGAACTCGGGGCTCAATTCCTGCGGTGGACACAACAGATTGCCCAATGTGGATTTGCTCTAATACAAACAAAAGAAACGTTGAGTTCAGGGGTTCTTAGTTGATCTATTGAAACAGTATCTGATGATGAAATATCCATTTGAATAAAGGACATTCGTGGCCGTTTTTCACTAGATGTTGTTCAACTAATTTAAAATGTGAGGCTCAGAGACTTTAGGAATAATCAGCGCTAAACGCCACCGTGATTGGAGGATTGTCAGGAAAGGTCAACTACTGACCCGCATTGAAGATTGTCATACACTATATCAGTTAAAGCTCTGAAAGAAAAGCTTCTCAGAAATCAATATTGTTTCGCTCACAGTGTGTGTGTGTCGTTTGGTGCAGTCTCAATTGTCTCTTTCTAAGTTTTTCATACGTCAATTTCATTTAATCCATTTTTCTTTTTCGGAAATTATGTTACATCTATGGAACTTTTACTTCATTGCTTACTCCTAACAAACTGTTCGATTCATATATCACAGGAAAAGTTTTAAGCCTGATGAACGCTGGTATTAAGCTTTTATTTTCCTCTTACTGGAAATATGTACACGGACAGTTAGGGGCGATGTGTTAAAAATTATTACGAATTTTATGATTATTTAATGTCATTCAAATTACCCATCGACAGATCAAACTGTATAAGGCGTTATATCCTGTAATAAGTTTTACTTTCACTAATAGTTTGCTAATAATTACTTAGCTACTTTCCAAAATTAATTGAATAATTTCTTGAGCCCTCACTTACTGTGTTCTACTACATAGTCAAATATAGGAAGCTATTAAAATATGTTTTTTTTAAAAAACAGGTACTTTTTTACAATTTTATCAAAATAATTTCAAAATCACAATAATGATTAACACATTAAAGAGGTTCTAACTTATAAAATGACTTCATTTACGTAGTTTTACCAACGATAACAGACTCCGGCTCTGAATATTTTGAAGTACAACCAACGACAACAGATTCCGGCTCTGAATATTTTAAAGTATTACCAACGATAACAGACTCCGGCTCTGGATAGTTTAAAGTACTGCCAACGATAACAGATTCCGGCTCTGAATATTTTAAAGTACTACCAACGATAACAGATTCCGGCTCTGAATATTTTAAAGTACAACCAACGATAACAGACTCAGGCTCTAGTAATATTTTAAAGTACAACCA